ACTAAATACCTTTCTTTGAAACTTTTTGTTGGAAAAAATGTACCGGCATACTGAACTGTAGGGTACAGGCAATGCTGGTGGTAATGAACAACCAATGACATACCTGGGATAAACATACACAGAAAAGTATATAGAAGGTAATGATGTCGGGAAACACTGCTTCAAGATGTTGAGTTCTGAGACAGGGAAGGAGCGTGTCTAACATAATAAAGGTCACAGGTTAGAAGAGCACATTTTTCAGCATTGTTCTGCGCACAGGATCAAAGGAGACGGGAAATCCTTTTACATGTAGTAACCGTAGGCTCTTTGCTAGGAACCTGGGTGTTTTCTCTCTTGGGATCTGAACTTCAAACTTCCACAAGTAATGTTGATTTTTCTCATTTTTCAGTGTGTTTATCTTCTATATACTTTATACACCTAAAAACACATGAAGCTCCATTAAAATGTAATATTATCTGAGGCTACATTAGAATGTTATCCTAAACTGTTTATATTTTTTTTTATTGTTATTGTTATATTTTTTTATTAATAATGATTATAATACAACAATGTTCACAGAAAAATAAAAATAAAACATACAATCTCCATATTAAATTTTAGAAATTTCAATCCCTCCCTCACCCCCCCCCCCCCCCCCCCCCCCCCTATCCTTACCCCTGGTCACCTCCTACTTTTCCTTTCTGTTCCCAAATTTAATTCTTATCATATTATTTATCTCCTCCACTCCTTTTCCCCTCCTATCCAAGGTGGGGAAGCCATCAATTCCCTGCTTTCTTTACCCTAGTTTACAATCAGTTCTAAATATCTTGTGGATTTTTTAAAACCCAACCATCTATCCCAATTTTCTACATTTTTCAATTCTGTCTTCTCCAATGTGGTATAGGGATCCTGAATCTGCCAGTACCTAGGAATCAGTCCATTTGCAGCATTTATTAAATGAAATGTCATCGTATCCTAAACTATTTCTGAATTGATTAAAAAGACAATATTCTGGTTCAATATTTAGGAAATTTGCAAATGTGTGTGGGTTTGAGCCAACGTTTGCACCATTTTGCCTTTAATCTACAGTAATCTGACGCCTGGGCTCTAAAATCGATAAAGCAAAAGATGCAATATCTTATTGGAAAAATAAAACGAATAGCATTTTCTAAAGCAGTGATATAGTCTCATAGATTTTTTTTTTATAGGATAATGGGGGATACTTATTGGATTCATGGGTCGCAGGTGAGCTAGAACTTGTTTAAAAAGAAAGCATTCTTAAACTATCATCGTACTTTAGTAGTGGTTGTGCACTATTTGCGCTCACCCTGTAGAACCTACCATTTCAAATCATGACTGGCAGTTAAGATATTAATATAAACCAGGGTGTCTCAACCGAGTTGCCGCAAAGAGTGCTCAGGGGTGCCGCGGCCAAATCCTGGTCTAAGCACTACTCTGTGTTAACTCCCGTGCACTGCAACTCTGTGAGGAGAGAGAGAAGCACAGCCTGCACGGGTCTCTCCTCCCTGCAGCTATGTGTACTATTGCCGGAGAAGCAGAAAGGGGGGTTGTGCTGAAGAGGGATTTGGGGGGGGGTATGCTGGGAAGAGGAATTTGGGGGGTTGTGCTAGGAGGGAGGATTTGAAGGAGTTGTGCCAGGAAAGGGGATTGGGGGAGAATGAAGTGGGTTTTGTGCTAGGAGTGGGGATTTTGGGGGGGTGCTAGTAGGGGGATTTGTGCTAGAAGGGGGAACTGAGGGGGTGCTAGAAGGAGGGATTTGTGCTAGAAGGGGGAATTGGGGGGGTGCTAGGAGGAGGGATTTGTCCTAGAAGAGGGAATTTGGAGGGAGACTAGTTACAACCTAAGACTACTGAACATCAACAAATGTGATGTGCACGAAGACACACAAAAAATTGCGCGCTCGGACACACCTCCTTTTTTTGTTTTTTGTTATTGTTTTTGCATTTTTGTTAACTTTTTTGTCTGAGTATAGATCTATGTGTGTTAAAAGTATGTTTGAATCCATTTACTGTTGACTGACTCTATACTTCTACTGGAAGTCTATTCCAAGCATCAACTACCCTTTCAGTAAAATAATACTTTCTAAGATTAGTTTTAAACTTCCCTCCTGTTAGTTTGAGGTCATGTCCCCGTGTTCTTGATCTTGGTTTCATATTGAAAAATCTTGCCCTCTTGCCTCTCTTGTCTCTTTTCATCCACCGAAACCCAAATACATCCATTTTCCTCAAAATGATCATATATGCAAAACAATGTGCAACAAAAGAGATAATGATAATTTTTTTTATTTATTTCAGGTACTTATAATGCTGTCAATTTATGCAGTGCTTTTACATACAGTCATGGCCAAAAAAATTAGCACCTCTGCATTTCTGTCAGATAATGCACCACTTCGCCCTGAAAATTGTTGCAATTACAAATGTTTAAGCATTCTCCTTTTTATTTCTTTTGTTTGTATTGGTATGATACAAAAAAGTGGAGAAACAAAAAGCCAAATCTGGCACATTCCACACAAAACTCCAAAAATGGACTAGACAAAATGATTGGCACCTTCTGACAATTGTAAGCATTAACTGCATTCCAAGTTTGTGATGTTCCTGTTTTTTGTAATTAAATTCACCTGTATCAATTAACAAGTACTGACAATATACAAATCACACCGGAAACCAGTTATAAAGGTGAAAAATGGCCTCCACCTTTCCACCTGTACCACATGGAGCATGGAGAAGAGAAAGAGCAGCAAAGAATTGTCTGAGGATTCGAGAACAAAAATTGTGAAAAAGCATGGTCAATCTCAAGGTTACAAGTCCATCTCCAGAGATCTTAACGTTCCTGTGTCCACTGTGCATAACATTGTCAAGAAGTCTACAGCCCACGGCACTGTAGCTAATCTCCCTAAACCTCGACGAAAAAGAAAAATTGATCAAAGATTGCAATGAAGGATTGTTCGAATGGTAGATAAAGAACCTCGATGAACTTCCAGACAAATTCAAGCTGACCTTCAGGCACAGGGTACAACTGTGTCAACTCACACTACATGTCGCCTTCTCATTGAAAAGGGACGTTATGGCAGGAGACCCAGGAGGACCCTACTGCTGACACAGAAACATAAAAAATCCAGATTGGAGTTTGCCAAAACTTACCTGAGAAAGTCAACATTCTTTTGGGAGATGTGCTGTGGACAGATGAAACAAAATTACAGCTTTTTGGTAAAGCCCATCATTCTACAGTTTTCAGAAAAAGCAATGAGGCCTTTAAAGAAAAGAATACACTCCCTACAGTCAAACAAGGTGGAGGTGCACTGATGTTTTGGGCTTGCTGCTTCAGGCACTGCATGTCTTGACTATGTCGATGGTATCATGAAATTTGAAGACTACCAAAGAATTCTGGGGTGCAATGTAGGGCCCAGTGTCAGAAAGCTGGGACTATGTCAGAGTTCATGGGTCTTACAGCAGGACAATGACACAAAGCACATGTCAAAAAGCACCCAGAAATGGTTTCAGACAGAAGTGCTGGAACTGACCAACAACGAGTCCAGATCTCAGCCCCATTGAGCACCTGTGGAGAAATCTCAAAACAGCAGTTGGGAAAAGGAACCTTTCCAATCTGAAAAACCTGAAGCAGTTATATAGACCTGAAGCTCATAAACATGAGAATGCCTAAACATTTGTAATTGCAACAATTTTCTGAGCATAGTGTTGCATTATCTGAAAGAAACGCAAAGGTGTCAATATTTTGGCCATAACTGTATATATATATTGTATATATAACACTACAGGTATTGTTAAAAGGCATATATCTTCAGGGGAATCCAGTATCACAATCAACAAAATATACAGAATCTGGGGTAAAGAAGAAAGAAAAAGAGAGTAAGAAGAGATGTAAGAGAAGGAGGGGGATAGGGTGAGGGGAGAACAAAGGATCCCAGAGGATTGTAACAACTGCCGACTGTAGGATGCAGGAAAGTTAGAGATCGACCCGCATGTAATGAGCCCATGGGCTCCAGACCCTTTCAAAATGCTTGTCTGAATCATTGAGCATATAAGGGCATTTAAGATGCCCTTATATAATAGTTGAAAGCAGTTATACCAGTGCTCTGACTCCCTCTTGGATGCCAAATCATTGTCCCACTTCCTCGTATAAAGAAGTTTAGCTGGGGTGGTAAGCAAGAGCCCATAAATGACGGAGATCCTTCCTCTCTGACCCATATTCATTTGGGTTCATGGGATTTTAAGGGGTTTTTCCATTCCAGTGAGGAAGTCAACCAAGACCTGAATTGCATATCAGTTGTCTTCCCATCAATTAAGTTCATAAACTTTTATAAATGAATGTGGAAATACGTTTAATGTGGTGTGGTAAAGTGATAGTAAGGTTAATTATATTTACTTGTTTTCAACTCTTTTGTTTTACATTTCTTCAGTTCCTTCCTGGTTTTTGGCCTAGGCCAAAATTTTGTTTTAAATTTCATTTCTAACAGGATGATGATTTTGTAGTTATCAAACAGATACTGCAAAACACTTGCAATGATATACTTTACTGGTATTAAGAAACCAAATGGAGTAAATAAGAGAAGTTCATTGTTAGTGTTCACATATACTTTAATATCTGAGTATGCAAATTATTTATATATATGCCCCAGCAGTTTACTTTTGTAGATTTTATCTGGTACTCAGTACAGTGAATATTGGAACTTCAACCCCAAACCCAACACTAAACTTTTTTTAGGGAATGCTTGGATTAAACAACCTTACAATTTAGGTTTTTGTATACACTGCCAAAACAAAAAAACCCATCAGTAGTACAATGTGTTCCCTGCAAAAATTCAAACCGTTATCTAAACAAACATTAATAAAAAAATCTACTAAACAACTCATTATGCATGGGTAACCCATGTCACATTTGTACATACACTATACTGCCAAAAGTATTGGGACACCCTTCCAAATCATTGGATTCAGATGTTCCAATTACCCCCATGGCCACAGGTGTATAAAATCAAGCACCTAGGCATGCAGACTGCTTCTACAAACATTTGTGAAAGAATGGGTCGCTCTCAGGAGCTCAGTGAATTCAAGCGTGGTACCGTGATAGGTTGCCACCTGTGCAATAAGTCCATCCGTGACATTTCCTTGTTACTAAATATTCCACAGTCAGCTGTTAGTGGTATTATAACAAAGTGGAAGCAACTGGGAACAACAGCAACTCAGCCATGAAGTGGTAGGCCATGTAAAATGACAGAGCGGGGTCAGCGCATGCTGAAGCACACAGTATGCAGAAGTCACCAACTGTCTACAGAGTCAATAGCTAAAGACCTCCAAACTTCATGTGGTCTTCAGATTAGCACAACAACAGTGCATAGAGAGCTCTGGACTCTAGAGCAGTGGAGATGTGTTCTGACGAATCACAATTCTCTGTCTGGCAATATGGTGGATGTGTCTGGGTTTGGCTATTGCCAGGAGAATGGTACTTTCCTGACTGCATTGTGTCAAGTGTAAAGTTTGGTGGAGGGGGGATTATGGTGTGGGGTTGCTTTTCAGGGGTTGGGCTTGGCCCCTTAGTTCCAGACCATCACAATACCTTCAAATCAAACTTTTTTGTTCTTCTATGTCTCTATCTCTTGATAAAACTACTAGCTTTGAACTTCTATGTCCTAGAGGCCCTTATGAACTGCATTTAATTTCTTCTATATATACAATTCTTAATGAGACTAACCCACTATCTCAGAATAGTCATTCTTATGTGTAAATGGGTTCACATTCTTAATCACCCTATTTCCATTTTACAGTGGAGCAGGATACTGTATGGGAAGCTATTTCCAAGGTGTCACAGTGCGGTGCAGAGAGAGACTACCTATAAAATCTTTTTCTTTTGGTATAAAACTGATATTTTACATGATTGCAATCCAGAGGTTTCTCGGCAGTGCTGGAGATGTCACAATGCCATAAGTACTCAGTATCATCATTTTTGGGAATGCCCTATTATTAAACATTTTTGGGCCTATATTCAGTATCCTTTGCAAAACTTTCTTGATACAGATATACCTTTAAATCCCACGCACTATTTGCTGGGTTTGCCCTATCCAGGTATCTCTAAGCATGCAAAGAGACTGATAGCTTTTGTTTTATTAGCTGCCAAAAGAGTTATACCATCCTGTTGGCTATCTGCTTCTCCTCTCACACACACACAACTTTTATCTACTATAGCTGAGATCCGCAGAATGCAATACCTTACAGAGATGGTAAAAGGCTCGCTGTCGGGATTTACCAAAATTTGGGATACTTGAGATGGCTCAGAGTATTGGCTAGAACGAATTACACCAGACCCTCAGTAGGTTACCTCTTTCTAAGTTATGTTATGTCTTTCTAAACCTGATTATTCACTAATAGAATCCACTGATCTGCAAGATCTGTGGTATGTCATTTTGTTATTTCCTATACATTTATCCTGTTGTGTGACTTAATATCCCTATGTGTTGAGAGCATACAGTATATACAAATTGTTGATATTGAAGTTTGACAATGCATACTCCTTTTTTATTCAACGGAGCCCATTATACATCATGTAATTCTTTTCCTGCTCAATCCATTGTATTGGTGGACCTATATGTTCTCCCTACATTTATTCATGTCACCAATTTTTGTATTCCCTGAAAACTCTTAATAATACAAAAAAAAAAGCCCTTCACTTGTATCTGAGCATGGTAAATAACAAATGGACATTACACTATACTCCCCCCCCAACTTGAACTTGCTGTGAATGGAAAATTTCAGACCAGTCAAATTCATCCTATGAATACAATCGAAAATCCGAACAACAGTATACAAATCCATTAACAGCTCTGCTTTGAGCTACATCACTTACCTTGTCTCAAAATATAACCAATCCATCCTCTTCAGTACTTCTAAGAGCTCCTACTTTCTACCTCTCTTGACACCTCCTCTCATGCTCATGTCTAGGACACCTCCAGAGCCTCTCTTATCTTCTGGTACTCTTTAGCTAAATCTGTTCAGGTATCTCCCACTCTGTCCACCAATACCTAAAAATCCATCTCTTCAGGAAAGTCTATCCCACCTCTACATACATTATTATTATTATACAGTATTTATAAAGCGCCAATAGTTCGCTCAGCGCTGTACATTACAAAGGGGGACAGAACATGTGACAGACAACAATACCAATACAATGCAAAACATGAGGGGATCGAGGGCCCTGCTCTTTCGAGCTTACAATCTAGGAACATACATGAACTTGTTGTTCATCAACTAATCCCCACACAGATATTACCTTTTTGTATCACTTTCCCCTCCATTGTGGATTGTAAGATCTCACATGCATGGCCTCTCTTAACCCCTTGTTTTAAATTGTATTTTAACTGTACTGTCTTCCTTTATATTGTAAAGTAGTGCACAACTTGTTGGCTCTGTTTAAGTCCTGTATAATAATAACAATCTGGTACAAACTGTGCCGGGGTTCCCCAAAAATAGGTCTCTGGGAATGCTTCAGGGGTTAGGAAACAGTTCCATCTTCTGTCTTCAGGCACTTCAGTGGATGGTGGTTCAGGGGGCTCTGCAGCTAGATAATGGACCTGAGCTGGGTGGCTATTGACTGTGTAATAATTTCAGTATCCATGGCTTTTCCTGGGGTTCTTGGAGATCATAGCGGAAGAACAGAAGGCGCCCACCATTGAATTTTTGTTGGCTGAGATGTTTGTGACTCATTTATTTGGACAGGTTCTTCAAAAATCCCTTGTATGCTTCTCTGTTTGTCTTAATGAGTTGTAGGATTGTATGATGTAGTATTCTTGGTGTTAATTGGATTTCTTCCCTCTGGATATCGCTGGATTGTCATATCTGGAATGGGCTGTTCTAGGGCAACTCTAGGGTTCATTTCCCATGGTGTTTGAACTTTTTTACCGGTGTGTACCTTACTACCAGACTAGCACTCTGTCCCCAGGTTGAAGATCAAAGTCTGACACTTCTAACTCTTTTTACTCCCCCTATGACGAGTGTTTAATGAACTGTTGGTCTTCAGACAGGCGTTGTTTCTACTTGAAATGTGTTCAAGTTCTTTTGTGGGCACTGTGACTCCGGTCTGTAGGCCCTTTGAGACCACAGCCAAACAAAACATGGTAGAGAGAGAGAGACCTGCTGAGGATTGTACTGAAAGGTTCCAGAATGCACAATTTAGCTATATAATTGGTCCATTTCCTTTGTTTCTCATGAGCTAAGCCTTTCAGCACTTTGTATTACGGTTCCATTGAACCTGTAACATGCCCCATTGCCTAGTGCGTTGGGACATTTTTGGATGAATTTGCTTTTGAAGCTGGGTTCCTGTTCTGACTGTATCTTTAGTGGAGAACCATAAAGAGAAGTGCTACAACAAACCTGGTAAAGCAGTCCCCTATTACTAGAACATGATGGTATGCATCTTCTGACATATCAAGTGTAAGAAAGTTGATGGTTAGTACTGTTAGTGGGGCAGATGTGTGCCAGAGGTGGGAATTAGGCCTCAGTACCTTTTGACACTGAACAGACCACACACTGGGCAAGTATGTGGCAATGAGTTTTAATACTGATAAATGTAAATTTATAAACTTAGTGGTAGAGGGGGGGCTAAAAACATGCATGGATCATGAATTCTAGGAAGAGTACTACTGGGGGAGTCCATTGCTAAGAAGGACTTGGGTGTTCTGGTAGATCATGGATTTAAAGTGATTTTAAGGGTTGTAATTAAAATAAATAAATAAAAATAACAAACATGTTTTACTTACCTGCCCTTTGCGATGGTTTTGCACAGCCTCTTCTTTTTGGGTCCACTGTCGTCGGGCCTGGCTCCTCCCCTCAGCCAAGTTCCCCAGTAGAAAGTGGGGGCACTCAAACAGGCTTGCTCCTGAGCCATGCTTTTGTGAATGGACATGGCTTGGGCCCTCCTCATTGACTCACTGGCTGTTATTGACTCAGCCAATGAGGAGGGAGATTCCCTGGAGAGCTGGGGCTCTCATCCGCATAGCTAAATCATGATGGGGCTCAGGTAAGTACTAGGGGGGAGCTGCTGCACACAGAAGGTTTTTTATCTTCATACATAGAATGCATGAAAGTAAAACAATCTTGAGCCTATACAACCACTTTAATACATTATCTGCATTAGATAAAAAACATTTACATGCAGCCCCCCCCCCAGCTCACCTTCCCAAATACACATCTGAACCTAAGCTCTATCCAGCGCTGTGCCCTAGAGCAGCAACACTGCTCTCTCCCTCCTCAATGGACTCAGTAAGAGCAGTGGGAGCCATTGGCTCCACTGATTAGAAAGCTGGAGGCGGGGCTGAACCACACTGTGTGCAACAAAAGATGCACACAGCATGGCCCTTGATCGAGCCCGCAGGAGTGCCCCCGTAGCAAGGACTTCCTATGGGGGCACTTGGCAGAGGGGAAGAGCCAGGAGCGCCAGCAAGGAATCCTAGAAGAGGAGGATTGGGGCTGCTCTGTTCAAACCATTGCAAAACAGGTAAGTAAAACATGTTTTTTTTTTTATATATCATCATGTATAAATACATAAATGATCTATATAGTGAACTCGGTGTAGAAATATTTACTTTCTTGTTTTTAAAAAGAACAAGGGGGCACTCTTTATGTCTGGAGGAAAACAGATTTAACCTCTGCATATGGAAAGGCGTCTTTACAGTAACAGCTGTGAAAATGCAGAATAGACTCCCTCAAGAGCTAGATGCACAAAATATAGCTGGATACTGACATTTATAGGTAATAACACTAGGGTTTTCAGTGGAGCATCGTGATGTGTCTTGGTGAGAGGTCAATACAATAATAGGCAATGTTGATGGGGGGTTCTCTTTTATCATCTACAATATGCGGCTTGCTTAGCACCCTCCACTCAGTGGGATACAGTGTTTGTGAGGTATTACCTGGAAAGTAACATGCAGATCTCTGCCTGTGGCACACTATATACTGCCCTCTGTCTGTGTGTGTGTGTGTGTGGGGGGGGGGGGGGGCTCTAATCTTATACAAGCTCTGTGTTGTTGTGATTGGACACAGCTGATCAGCTGGTTTCTGTCAAAATCATTGACTGAAACCTGCTGACAAACCAGCACGTGTCCAATCACAGCATGGGTCAACAGTACTGTGAGCAGGCAGCAAGTGCAGACACAGCAACATACTTGTACATTGGCTTCTTACCAGGTACAGGGGGAGAGAGCATTCAAATATACATGTAACGTACAAGTATGTTGATTTTCCTGCACTTGCTATCAGTTCACAGTACAATTACTGTGAGGATCAGAAAGTGGTTAACAGACCACTCATAAACACACAAAAAAAATAAAGTGTAGCTAAATACACATAAACAAGTCATTTAACCAGTTCCGCGCCACCCTATAGCAAAAATACTGCTGGTAAAGGGCAAAATCACATATATATATTTAGCAGTTCCGGGTTTGCTGACATTCGCGGCCTTGGCTGTGATTACTCGCCAGCACCCG